TTCCTTTTTTGTAAATATAAAAAAAAAATTGATGATCGGAAAATTAATAAAACCCTAATTTGAGAAAATCCTCTGTGTGTATAATTCCAATTGAAAAGGGGAGAAATTTCTTACACGGCGGCGAAAATGCTTGGTGGGTTATACGGTGATCTTCCTCCGCCGTCAGATGATGAGAAACCCAGCGGAAACTCCTCCTCCGTTTGGTCAAGCAGTACAAAGATGGCTCCACCTACGCTTCGTAAACCACCGGTTTTTGCTCCGACGCAAGCAATTCTCAGATCTCAGAACAAACCCAAACCTATTGTATCATCTCAGTACAAGTCTTCTCCGTTGATTACTACTACTCCGGCACCTTCGCAGCCAGCATTGGTTGGTTTGACATCATCTGTGATTGAAGAGTACGATCCAGCTCGACCTAATGATTACGAAGAGTATAAGAGGGAGAAGAAGAGGAAAGCTATGGAAGCTGAGATGAAGCGAGAGGTTGAGAAGAGAAGACAAGAGGAAGAAGAAAGAGAGAAGAGAGAAAGAGAGAAGGAGAGAGATAACGATAGTGAGTCTCGATTGAATGTCTCCGGTGAGGAAGCGTATAATAGACGAGCTGCCATGAGTGGTGGTGGTAGTGGGAAGAGACGATCTTCGTCTCCGCCTGGGAACGGAGACGGATTTATCATTGGGAAATCGGAGACGAGTGGATTAGGAGTTGGGGTTGGTGGGCAGATGACAGCAGCTCAGAGGATGATGGCAAAGATGGGTTGGAAACAAGGACAAGGGCTTGGGAAGCTTGAGCAAGGGATCACAACTCCATTGATGGCGAAGAAGACGGATCGTAGAGCTGGTGTGATTGTGAATTCTAGTGAGAATAAATCATCGGAGAAGAAAGTGGTCAAGAGTGTGAAATTCAATGGAGAACCAACCAGGGTTTTGCTTCTTAGAAACATGGTATGTGATTTTCAAAAACCATCTCTTTAAGATTATGCATTCTTGAGTTCAGATTTCACTTTTGTAGATTCTTGATTATGCTTGCCACAGTCTAGTTGAATCAATATGATTTGCCAAAGCCAACTTAGAATTGATCCAAATGGACCTTGGTATAGTGTTCTTGTATACGGACACTGATAGCTACAATGCTTTTAGAAAGGTCTGCTAGAATTTTGAGTGAGAAGGTTATGCTGTATTCAAGCATTTGTTACTTCAAATTATTGGCCGCACGTTAGATCGATAACCCGAGCCTTTGCTTGATTTTTGGTGTGGATTGAATGAGAGGGCACTTTTGAATACTGTTGGCAAAGATATCTGAGTGAAAATGGAATTGAGTAATGGCTGTCATGGAAAAGCATGAGCCTTTTCACCTTTCAAGTTATGTTGAAACTGAAATTTTTAGCTTTTTTTTCGATGAAAATTCTTTGTTGATGGAGTTTGTAGCTCATAGTTATACTTGTGGTAATGTTAGCCTAGTGAACTGCTGGGTTTTTGTAGAATTTAGATTGCCTTGAACTTTACAGATGCAGAAGTTACAGTATCTTCCAATCGAATAGTTAATTAGGCATGGCTGAAGAAAGTTTGGGAGGCACTTTGGTTCCTGGGCTATAGCCTAAAATAATAATCTTGAGCTTGAGCTAGTATTTTGGCCGTGATTTGCATCTTCACACTTGTGATTTGTGAGTGTTTCTTTAGTAATGTTTCAGAGAATTGTTGATATGTGAATGCATCTTCGCATCGTTGGTTGTAAACGTGTATTTACTCTGATTGTTGTTCATTATAGCAAGTGCTTGTTACAGAGATCATATCTTTCTGTTATGTATTGCGCTCTGCAATTCCAATTGACCCATCACCTGGTTTCTTTGCGCCTAAAAGGTTGGCCCAGGACAAGTTGATGACGAGCTAGAAGACGAGGTGGGATCTGAGTGTGGCAAATACGGTACTGTCACTCGTGTACTGATATTTGAGATCACTGAAGCTAACTTCCCTGTACACGAAGCAGTCAGAATCTTTGTTCAGTTTTCAAGACCCGAGGAAACAACTAAAGCCCTTGTCGACCTAGACGGGCGATACTTTGGAGGAAGGACCGTGCGTGCAACGTTCTATGACGAAGAGAAATTCAGTAAGAACGAGTTGGCTCCAGTTCCAGGTGAAATCCCTGGCTATTAAAAGAAAGTCAAGAACAAGAAACTGCATCCTCTAAGATTATTGATAGAGAAAGAAACCAAACTATAGATAAGGTTTTAAATAACTTTTGTAAAGAGTATTTAGAAACTTTTGCAATCTAATATGTTTATTGTTATTCAGAGTAGCTTGGTCATGATCAAGAAATGTTCCTGTTTTTTTCTTCTTAATCATGTTTTGACCTTGCTTTGATTTTGCATTTATATTTTTGATCAACCAAAACACATTTCTTTCTCTATTTAGATTGTAAATGATAGGAGCATGAGAATTCGATTTTTTGACATTACAAAGACAATATATACGCATATTCAGTGGAGACTAAACGGGCCGGGCCGGATCAATTCGAGCAAGTAGAAAATTGGGCTAAGATCCATAGAAATACAATTCTCTTAAAACCAAGCCCAAAATCTATTTAAAGCCAGAAAAAATGTACAAACTAATTAATGGACAAACACAGCTTAGCTTGGAAATTAAATTAGGTTTTACACTGAATAAACAAACTATCAAATACGGAGGAGTCTCTTGGATAGCTAGGGACTCCGGTGGGAAAGCTTTATCACAAAATAGAAGGTATTATGCGAACATGAGCTCTAGTCTCGAAACAGAGGTTTGGAGTTTATTCTGGGCTATCGAAGCTGCAGTCAACCTTCGGTTTCGCCGGGTGAGTTTTGAATCACATTTTGAACAAGCTGTGCCATCGCCCAAACCAGAGGAGAAGTCCAGTTTTATTAATAGGAGAGAAAGAAAGATAGAACGAATTTTGTTGCTTTAGATAGACCGATGTGTTTTCTTTCTTCATGAATAAAAGGGCAACGATTCGAGAATATTGTTCTAAGACGGGCTCTTCTTCACCCTAATCTTGAGAGGGTCACTGATCAGATTTTCATGTTGCTCCACAACTTCGAGACCTGGAGTTTTTCTCGTACTCCTGAGAACAACAATCAAGTTGCTCAACGCATTGCAAGGAGCGTCATCACGGATGGTAGACATCAGTCCTATATCGCGCAGGATGGTCCAAGCTGGCTCAACCATCTCATCGCCGCTGAAGCTGCCGTGGGGTAATCTCCATGCTTTCACTCATCCGGATTCCAACATACACAGTGGTCGGTTTCTAGTGTTTTTCATTTAAGATCAGGGGTTTTAGCCTATGTTTCGATGTTCCATCTTGTCTCTGGTCATCGATTGG